TTCAATCATCGTTCAGGGCCAGGTCCTCTACCCCTTGGGTGGTAAAAGCCCCAGAGAAAAGAAGCCGGCGAGGTTTACTACCTACCTTAGTCTACCTACCACCACTCCTAAGGCTCAATGTAGAGGGGACCCCTGCGAGCATAGCTTTGTTGTATCCCTCCAGCCCCCCATCAGAGGGGATGCATATTGCCCCCTGCCCCAGCCGTGGTGGTCAAGGATGGGTTGGGACTGCCGGTCAGGGTCCGGCTAACGCAAAAACCGGCCATTTCGCCTGTAGCTGAGCCCCCCATGTTTGGCCGTCCCCCACCCCCAACAACACTCTCGCAAGCACCACACGCAACCCACTCACGCGTTGCTTTCTTTTTTTTTTTTTTTTTTTCTCGTTGGTCTTTTTTGTTGCTGGTCTTGTTTTTATTTTATTTTCTTGAAGAAGACAAAAACGTGGAGAGTGCATCTGGCCATATTCGAGCGGAAAGTTCGTTCTGATTTTACACATTTTGAGACAGACCAGTAGAAACGCCCGGTGGTTTTTGAGAACCTGGGGAGCGGGCAAGGTTAATAGTTGGTTAGTTAATGTAGATGCTGAAGGGAAGTTAGAGTTTTGCTCGTGGTTGACTGAGGGTAAGTAATTTTAACCAGGGCACTCGGTTTTGCTGCCACAGGAGGCAGGGGGTGTTGGAGGGTTTGTCTTGGGTAACAGGCATTCAGCAGTTCGGTTTAGACCTGCGTTGTTGCTCTGGTCTGTCTCAATTAGTTTGAAGACTAGGTAGGTAGCACTGATACAGGAAGAGCAGAGGGCTCGATTTCAGACCACACCAGTTTTTGGTCATTCGATCAAGCTAGAGGCTAGGTACTAGAGGCTTGCACCCAGCTCTCGGCCTGAATAGCCTGCTAACTGTTCAGTGGTTTTCTGGTTCTCGTTCAGTTACAACCGGGTTGTTTGTTGAGGATTCCCGGCCTCAGAATGTTTCTCTGAATAAAGGATCCTCTACCTTTTCCCGAAAAAAAAAAAAAAAAAAGAAGAAATGGCGCCAGGCGCATATAAGATGCCGGTTTGGAACATGGGAGTCCACGACTGTGGGGTTTGACCACCCGCCGCTGTTGCGTTGTTTCCGCTCAAGCTCTCGTAAGGAACAGTATGCATGTCTGAGGTGCGCATAGGTGCGCACGGGCCAACACACACACACACACACAGACACACACACACACACACACAGACACACACACACACACACACAGACACACACACACACACACAC